AGCGGTTTCGGGTTCGCTTCACTACACTCTCACCGCCTGTCACCACTTGCTTCTTTTCAACCCGCTTTCGCCGAGGCAACGAAATCGTTGCCGCCAATCAGAGAGCTGTAACGGCAAATCAGCCAATCAGCGAGCCAGACTTTTTGCCTGAACGTCATCTCCGTTATTCAAGTTGCCTGATCGATAACGAGCGCTGCTGAAACGCCTAGGGTTGAGCTGGGCGTACAGCGCGTATATAGTGTAGTGAAGCGGAACATACACGCCTCGTATCAATACAGGTTACCCTTTCGCGCCGTAATTTCTCTATTGTTACCCTTCCTGGAACCGTTCTCGCGGGCTCGCGCGCATCCTACTCGATTAAATAAATTATCGTGGCTGACCGAAAGACGCACCTACGAAAAGAGCGAATCTGTCTGTTCCCCAACTCTCTAAAATTTGAGTAGAGGCCCTGCTCACGACTCTTGATACTCATGAATGGAAATAACCTCGCGACGATAGTCTGACCGTAGAATACTAGGAAAACAGATGCCGTCTCAACTGCCTCAGCACACCACTCCGCTATGATTACCAAGCGGACACACCTGACCTCAGTTCACCTCGCCCACCCAGCTCGGATAAAATCACACAAGACTGCCATAACGCACTGACTTAACCTCAGCACCTATTTTCGTCGGCAACCGCGGCGCTAGCTGTAGGCCCGGCCCTTCGCTCACGCGAGTTCCTCCCACGCGTCTCATCGGGTATTAGAACCCGTTTCTGGGCTACGCCATCTGGCGATCGCCTGTTAGAGCTACTTCCTCACTCGCGCTACTCTCGTGGACTCATTGCGACGCCTCCCTCGCTCCGTTAATTCCTCACCTCATGCTATGCGTCTCGGTATTTGTGACGCTGTACGCACTTCGTCTGCTCGCTCGTCTCTCTCTCGCAATGTCGTCTTTGGACTTGCCTCTGACACGTGCTTTATGCATAGATTTTCCACCACGTGAGGAGAAGCTGTCCCTATTTAGATACACTCGCTTGCGTAAACGGTTAATGCTGTTCAGTCTCGTTTTCGTTTGTTTGCGCTCCTATCTAGCCCGACCATGCTGCTGCAATAGTCACGTGTCTGTAGCATTGACTTACGTCGCCGGCTGCTCGCGGTACACACACACGGCAACCCCGCTCACTCGGCGTGCGGTCTCCACGGGCAAGTGCGATCATACTCGCCTCCTGACAGGCAGTGGCGTGAATCCCCACCACCGCGTCGATACTCCAGATCGGACACGTATGCCATCCCGTCCGCTCCGCTAACACAACATCGCGCGGTGTTATAAAGGAGGATTCGCTTACCCTCGGCGAGCGTAACATCCACCGCAGCAGACTCGTATCCTGCCAGCCATGCGTACATATGCTATTTCGCTCACCTTCTCACGTCCTCCCTTGCAAGATTCGTCGACGTTATATAATTCTGCACCACGGGGGTCTACCCCAGCGACTTGTATCGCCGCATTCCTCATTGCCCACGCTATGCTCATACTTCTTCTTCGCCTCTGCGTGCCCTCATCTGTCTCAGCATACGTAGTTCACTCGCGCGCTGAACGACTGCACGTGTGGCCATGCTGTGAACTTAGTCGGCATCTTGGCGCTAAGCCCCGTGGTCGGTCAATCCCATGTCCCATGCTTCAACGGCCTTGTGCACACCTCGCACGTTCTCGCTCTGCGCATGTCTAACCTCGCTGTTCCCCATTCATCTTCCTTCGTGCGGCTGGCGAGGGGCGTCAAGTCCGCTGGCGGGCGTCTGTGCGTCGCCCCGTTCCGACTCCTTCATCGTCGGCGTCGGCGATTCTCTTTGGTCGACAGGCATCTCGCACTCAGCCCCAGCAGTTCCTGCTCTGTCGCGACTCTTGCCGACCTGCTTCAATTGTTTTTCAACGTGTCGTCGACTTGTTGGTCACCATTTGACACTCTGCGACAACATCCTCTTGTCCCTCTCCCTCGAATCGCCGGACCTGCAACAACAGCTTCTCCTTGCTTCGTTCAGTTCCGGTAGCCTCGAGCATGAGTGCATCATCTGCCGCTGCATGTCCTGACACCTTGCTTATAGCCTCTGGACGCACATACAACCTGTTCCTGTTAGCTTTCCCTCCAGCCTCCTTCACCAACTGTTCAGCTGCTCGTCTTCGCTGCTTTGAAGGGAGTTCAATCGGTTCTTCAGCTTTCGTCGACTCCTCCTGGGCGGCCGTAGTAAGCGCATTTGGCCTACGCTCAGCCTGGAGTCGGCGATCACATGCTGCATACGCTCTTTTATGTAGCTCCTCCGTCACCTCAGCTAGCCGCCGCTGCAGTGTGTGCTCAAACCTCCGTTACGCTGAGAGATTTTACTGCCCTCATCTCATGGTTGGCTCTCTTCCGACTTCATGGGAACTTCTCCTGGCTAGTAGGCACCTGCTGATCGATGCTCGTTTTCTGCATGCGCTGCGCCATGTTCGTGCGCTCAGCCGGCAGACTTCGCACCTCGGAACGTCAGCTGAGATATCTGACGCTGGCATTGATCGCTTCTATCTGCTTCAGCTATGGATTGTCTGTCCAGCGTCTTATCACGCCCTGACGCATGTCCTGCCCCTGCTGCTTTCTGTAATGAACTCGAAGCTGTCCCACCTCCTGCACATGTTTTGTCGTGCGCTTGCTGATGACATCTTCATCGCCTGCAGTCATTACGCTGCTGCAATCAAACTCCCCACTTGTACTGCCGTTGCCCATGATTGGTCGACCTTTCTCTTGCCGGCGTCTTCCTCTGTTCGCCGAACTCTCGCCAGCCGTCTCCTCCGTTCTGGGGCACTCTCGCCGCGAAAATGCCAACCTCTCCGCAATCTAGCAGGTTCGACTGGTCTGTGTCGGTGCTGACCCTTGCACCCTCTCTTACGTATATCCGCGCCCTGCCGCTGCCAGGAGGTCCGGGCGTTGGGGGGGGGGACCGCCGAGCTCCCCCATCTCAGAAGGATCTCTTAACATCTTCCTGATCTCGGACGAACAAGCGGCTGCCGCATCTTCCCGGACTGGCTTTCCCCGGATTTGCCACTTTCCCGCACTGGACCGCAGTTTGCCCATGCAGATGCTTCCGTGGCGGCCGCCGAGGCGTCTTCCTCTTCGCTTACTACTGCTGGGCTGAAGCCGGACCGTCCTCCAACCTTCACATGCCTCTCCTCCATTAGCTCGCCGTGCTACTCGCGATCCTTCGGTCTACGGCTCCAATGTAACGCGTTTATCTCCCTCTCTCCTCCATCGCCCTAATTAACACGGAACTCGACTTACTACCATGGCCGTGTATTAGCTACGTTGCCGTTTGTCGCGGCACCTGACAGGGCCGATACGTTACTTCGCAATCTCTCTCGCAATTCTGATCACTAGCGCATCGCGACGAGGCAGGGGGGCCAAACACACCGAGCGCCGAGAAAGGGGGGGGGGCCGTTCCAGTCGTCCAGTGGAGATACGCGAGGGGGGGGGGTGCCGCGTCACGAAGTGGATAAGTGCACAAAAGTGGCAGTAATTAGCTAGAACTAGAAGTGTTTATTAGCCGCAACTACAAACCAGATGTGTCTCGCGCACTACTCACGCTATAACTCACTATCAGTGTACGTGGCTAAGCTACATACACATTATACACATACTAGTACAGCGTATTACATGATACAGCTTACAGACTAATTACAGGCCGATACAGAATCACTAAATACTTATACATACCACGTACACTTAGTAGTAAGTAGTGTGGCTAGTACTTTACTACTTAGTACCGTACGCTGCGCACTATGAAGCACTCATATAGCCACTACAATTACTCAGTACGCGCACGGTTAAGTTAACATCGGACGCATTCTAAAAACATCAAACTAGGGCCGCCATCCCTCTCTGGGTATCTCCCCTTCGCCGCCGTTATTCATCTATTGCTTCTCACTTTCTGCGACCCGTCCTTCGCGGCTAAGCGCCATCTTCTCGCCTAAAATAAACTGCAACATCGTGCTACCGAAACGGCACGATTACAAAGCGAATCTGTTACAATATGTATATATATATATATATTAATTATATTATATATATATATATATATATATATATATATAATATATATATATATATATTGGGTATATGATGATAATGCAGGGACATCGATGCGCTCATCTTTACGACGCTTGTGCCGCTGCGCTACGAGGAGGGAGCCGGCACGAGGGCTGGTGACGTAGAGACGGTCGGCGTGCTGGTCGGTCAATTGACAAGTTACGGGCATCGCCTTCCGATGAATCAACTCCGGTCTTCAGACCGAGGTCGACAGGGTGGCTGCTGAGCTACGGGCAAACGGTAGCGCATGGATGCACCCACAACGGCGCTACACTTAGGTGCTCGCCACTTCTCAAAATACCCGCGCCACGCTCACGCGCCACGAACGGCGCGCGCACGCGCGCACGCCACCCAGCACATACACACGCCTGGCTGCGCGCACGAACGGAACACCCACACGCATGCAGGCACACACACGCACCACTTACGTACACGACACACACCGCGCCACACACGCACGCACAACGCGCGCAGAAATACGCGCAGCGTGCGCACACAGTATAGCCGTACATATTCCGCATACTTTAGTATAGGTCAACCTTACCCTTTTTAAATTAAACATGATCAGATAAATACTCTTCAAGCAAAACCTTTTGTGTGTATATATGTCCCGTTCGATTTGTGTCCATGATATCGGCTCCTTCCTGTTTCATATCGCGTATACAGCGCATTCGCCTGCGCACTATAGATATTATAATTATACCTATACACGAACAGGCGCACGCTCGTGTCATTACGTGACTTCTGACTACCATCCCTGCATTGCACACGAACCTGTATGCCCTGTACGCGTGTATACGATTATTAAGGTTTCACGCTATGCTACTATACCACTCTTATCAGATTTCAGCGTTGTAGAAACCAGCAAACGATTTACACAGAGTCCGGATGCGCTACGGATGAGCCACTATCGACGACGCCATCTTTAACCGATCGCATCTTCTGTTTTCCTCCTGCAGGTGTCACTGCGCAGCTGCGACGCACGTGGTTCGTAGGAGCATGTCATGTGATCATGCAGGCGAAGCAGCAGCAGGTGGCGGTAGCTAAGCTACAGCTGCGTAACTTCCAGGGAGTGTTTTACATGATGCTAGCCGGCGCTATCATGACAACGTTGGTCTTCGTAGGTAGGGCGCGTGCAGCGGCAGTAGGGAAATCGTCTGCTAGCTATACCATACGATGCCGCACGTTGCGGCACGCAGCCTGGGCAAGGTGTGAGAGAGCTTTGCGGGGGTGAGACAGAACAAGGTTGGCACGGTAGGATAGAACAGAGTGAACAGAAGGTAGAACAGAATAAGATCAGGATGAACAGAGCAGGGCACACTGAGGCAGAGTCGGGCAAGGTGGGCGGGTAGGAATAGAAGCAGATAGGTAATGTAGAGAGGTGCATGGTAAAGTAGGGTAGGGTGGGACGGGCGGGGGCGGTGCATGGTGGGAGTGGGAGTGACTGAGCAGGTTGTGTATCTGCAACGTAACACGCATGCAGCCGCGTTTCTCTGTCAGTGTCATGCACAGATGCATCTCTGCTCTACATATGCTGCTTTTTCTTCTACATGCTTATGTTAGGAGCTGCTAGATGAATCTCCGCTCTAGCTTATATTAAGAGCTAATAAAGGACATTCAGTTGCTGCTTGCTAACATGTACACTTGACTTTCACTTACACTTTCTTTTTCTAACATTTACCTTCAATCATTTAGTAAACAATCGTAACTATCTATCGTAATCTAACACGTTTCTTAACATGCATCTTCTACGTTTCTACACGCTTCTATAACCTACCACTCCCGTCTGACGCCAATGAGCCACGCTGAATACAATCAAAAGCATATAAAAAAGGCCTTCTTTATATGCTCTTAATACAATGCCGTCGAGATTATGCGATGGCAGCGACACCTACTGGACACATTCACACGATGGTCCGCCGATAGATTGTTTAAGCATAACGCACACACCCGAGCAAAACACATGAACGTGGAGCAAAACGTGTTTCGCTCGATGTTCGTGGCTGTGTGCGGATTCCCGAAACAAAAAACATTGCTCAGCTGAGCGTGTTTCGCTGAACAAGCAATGTTTGATTCGCGAAGCGTGTTTTCGCCTGAGCGTACGTTTTGCTCGGGTGTGTGCGTCAATCGTTCTGCAACACAGCGAAACGCCACAGACGGTCTCCAAGCAATATCCTTAAAAAATCACAAAGACACA